GCTGGTCGCATTCAACTTTTTCTACAGCATGGATTGGTCCATGCGTATAGTTTAATTCAAGGTAAAAATTGTTGTTCAATCCACTGAAAATAGTTTAGTCGTTGACGGCAAATTAATCTAATTTTACTACTGGATCTTCGCTATTTTATGAAATAACTATTACTTGTACTCCTCGTTGTAGTCAACTCCTTATACGGGTACAATATCGATGCAACTCCATTGAAGGCAAAGAAGATTGTTGTGAAAGTGATGCCTAGTCTTGGCAACAGAACGATCCCTTTTGACTATTGTATCTTGACTTATTTGTGAAATCAAGCATTACTAGTACAATTCCTCCTACTAAATTGTCTGTATTGGCCAAATTGAAATTGAAGATACACAAGACTATGTATCGATTATAGAAATGATAGTGGACGATAGGATTGATTTTTATCCTCATGATAAATCATCCCATGTTCGCCTCGTTCTATTCGCTTGGCTACTTTTCAATAGTATCAATCAAGAATGACTTCGTATTGACCAGTCTGCTGCCTTGGATCGAGTTTGAACCAAGCGTGGCGAAAACTGTGTTCATTGAAGTGATGCTTATTTCACTCTGACGATAGGATGTATAGGTAGAATTTTCTGACAAGGGAAATGTTGATGTATTTTTCCAATCCACTGCCTATTTGGAGTGGGTCGAGCGAACAACGTTGCCATTGCATCTGTGCCTACTCAACTGCTTCAATTGATCCTCATCTTTATCGCTTGCGTTCAAACCGTTACAATGTTAATCTACTTTCATTCTGTATGATCACCGTTTAACAATGTTATCACGAATATTTTGCAATATTCGATTATAGGTAATCATCGTTGAAATTCAACGATGATTGATGAAGAAAAAGAGCCAGAAAGATGGTAGACGCTTCATAGTACAAAACTAGTGAAAGGAACATCATCATCATGACTGTCGTAGTAGATGAAAATCCACTTCAAGACGGATGATACAGTTTATCGATTGGAAAGGGGGCTATCAAGGTTATTGATCCATTTGAGATCATGATAGATGTCGTGATTCTCTCTTAAGGGGTTAAAGGGTCGACAACGATTTCAATTTTAAATGAAGAGGCCACACTAAGCCGGTTAGCGTGTGTACCGTAGACTAGACTCCACTGATAAATGAATGTTTACTGCATCGTACGCCGCACCTCCCATTCTCTGCTGTATGTATTCCATAGTAGCAACAATTCAATGTTGTCCCTTAAATACCATATGCAATGATGGCGATGATCGCGGTGGCCAATGTCATGCTTGATGGCCAGATCAAGCTTCTATCGGTTCAGTAGATAACCGAGTCATCATTACAAAATTAGAAATAATCTGATCATAAAACGAGCTGATCGTCTCCATTCATCTTTTGATGATGACATCAACTCGTTGGATCTAGTATCGATCTTGTCGATCAAGAATAACTGGTGTACTTGGAAAGCTAAATATACAACTCTCTCATGGCCTCTTCTCCCTATCTGCCCATGCTTGTATCTATCTTCCTACCTGAATCGATGCTATTCCTACCACTAGATTTGAATTCTTGCTCAATTTCAAGTCAATTTCACTCGGCTATGGCTGGTAAAACGCTGATCAAGAAGGCCACAAGTCACTCGATATTACACATCGAGTGGAATAATCTTGGTCAATTGCTTTTGAAAATTACTAGGAAAAAATGCGCAATAAACTCATTGACGAGATGGTTGGCTTGGCCCTTTGCGCGTGTATCATTAATAGCAAGTCTTTGTTGTCATAAACAACAGAATCCATTATGATGATGATGATGAGGATGATTATTATTTTAATGAGGATTGCGTTGGCCAAGCCAACTCGACTCGATAGTGTTGTAACCATTGCAGCGCGGTCTACACTCACTATCAAGAAAGGAGTGAATGAAGAAGAGATGATGGACTCGGCCAGCCAACGCTACCTATAGCGTGTTGCATCGAGTACAACGCGCTATACTGTACATGACAGAGATGGAAAATCTCCATGGTCTACATTTACGATCAAGAGATGAGTGGTAAAACCTGCCAATCCCGCTCCAACGAGATTCCCATCGATGAAATAGAAAAATGGCTATTTTAGCCATTTTCGATCGATAGGGATGTGTCTCGTTTTGCCTTCGTTGTAGTCAATGACTCCAATGCGAACGCTGCTGACTCACCACTACAATTACAATCTTTCTCAACTCATCGCCCATCCTATCCACCAGAGACCGAATGTTAGCGTCTTGAGGTCTGATCAAGGTCTCTCGTATCAACATAGCAATATACTGTAGAATAATACCGTTCCTACATTATTATTATTTAGTCCATGATGGGAAAGCTAATTTGGCTGTCTACTACTGGATTGCAATCGGATTGGGAGTGAGAAATCGTTTCAGATTTCAAAATGTTTTACAAGTTGAGAAGACGGCAAATACTCCTTTCTCCTGTACAGTGTTCCATACAGTACCATGGCGTTCTACATTTACTGTCAAGTGATGAAAATGATTGGGTAGAGGATCCACTTGGCGTCCTGTCTTGACGATATAGTGTTGCATACGGTATAGCGTCCTACATGATTTACTATTGACAAACAATACATGATCCTATAGAGGATCCACTTGACGTGCGAACTTGACTATATAGTGTTGCATACAGTACAACATAATACATTACTTGCTATGAATAGATGGTATGGGACTCTATAGAGGATCCACTTGGTGTACTATCTTGACTATATAGTGTTGCATACAATACAAGATCACACATCACTTACTATCAACGAACGATACATGATTCGATAGAAGATCCACTTGGCGTGCTAGCTTAGCTATATAGTGTTGCATACAGTACAACGTCTTACATTACTTGCTATCAACAGACCATACATGATTTTATAGAGGATCCACTGGGCATGCTAACTTGGCTATATAGTGTTGCATACAATAGAACGTCATAGATTACTTGCTATCACCGGACGATACATAATTCTATAGAGGATCCACTTGGCGTGCTAACTTGACTATATAGTGTTGTATACAATGCAACGCCATACATCACTTACTATCAACAGACGATACATGATTCTATAGAGGATCCACTTAGAAGTTAACTTGATCATGGAGGACATGGTAGAGAAATTATTCTAAGAGAATTTCTCTTTCCAAGTCCCTAGCCAATAACGAATACATGAAATACAATCTAAATGTTTCAAGGAGCATTATCGGCTGATCGGCATAATATAGCTTTTCATTTCATGCAGTAAAATGGCCGTTGTAAGGACTACTAAAAAAGAGAATTGCAGGGAAAACCTCTCTTTTAGTAGTCCCTGCTTTGACCATAAACTACTACAACTGAAATTACAAGCAGTTCTCTTCTACCCATGTCGTTGTTGACACTTGGCCGTAGTCGATGAGAGTGTTAACGGTAGCGTAACTGTCATGCAAGCAATAGCCTCTATCAGTATTACCGTACTCACCCCTTCTGAATTCATAGTGAAATAGTTTAATGTGATATCGGATGTCTTATTGAAGCGATGAGCCTGACAACTGTCCAAACAGTTTCATCAGCAACATCGCTGGATTACATTATTGCCAAAAAACTCTAGTTTCGTCTCCTATGAAAGCAGATATTCTTCAACTGAATGCAAGGCCAAAACACAATTTTACACATGTGGTTTTATCCCTTCTTGCTTTCTACTAGCGATGAAAAGAAAATACTTTTCTCCCACTCCCAAAGTAGAGTAACTTGTTTCAATAACACACAGTGCGTTCATAAACTACTACAAGACCCCTATTCCATTTCGACAGTAGAGTAATTAATGATAATGATTCTAATCAACCAAAGTAATGCAGAAAATTATCTTTTGTTATAGCCTTTCTTCGAGAATTATCAGAATGCCAACTCTACTAAATTCATTTCATCCACGACCAAAATCAAGCCATCATCACGACAAGAATCGGTCATAGCGTTCATCTTTGAAAATGCTATAAAAATAACAAATGGTTCAATAACTGACAGCGATTACTTTTGTTAATCTACTTTATTGACATTGTTTACCATGTTGGGCTTTTGTTGATGAACAAAATCGCCGATAATACAATTATTGTTAATAGTAGTAAGGAAGGGCAAGGAGGAGCCATTACTTAGCCATTGTACAGTAAAGTAAATACGAAGATAACAGTATAGGAGATAGGGACAGTATTGAAGATTCCATTGGATCTCAATTAAGTTAAAATACATCAACAGATAGCGACGCACAGTAGACCAATTGCATATCGCAAAACTGAATTATACACGGCTGCTGAAATCGAGTAAATGGAGATCAATTTATAATCTAGATATTCCGCACATGATTCTAGGGATAACATGCATCCAATTGATCCAATGCTAATACTGTACATACAATATCCCCCGAATAACTAACTACCTTCCATATTATACTCGTAATAACTATCGTTGCTCCACTGTGCCGAGCTACCGTTAATCGCAGCCTTGCGAAATACCTCTCCACACAATAAGGGTCATCGCGTTTCAATAACATGGACTGGTTATTCTGAAATGAGCAAGCACAAAGTGTGGACTTTGACTCAAACAGCGATAACACGGAGCTAAAGTCAGCATAATTGCAACCTAAATATGAATAGTACAACAGCACCTTGACGTAAAGTATCACGAGAGGGATATCTCTACAAGTAACATACGAGTATAGTGATCATTTCGTACAAACTACCAAAACTACTTGTGGGTATCGTATAATGTGCTGATTTCCAACTTTCACCACTTGAAGTGAACCATATAAAGGGGACAATCCTACACGTGTACTTTGCCAATGCTGCCGTAGTAATGTACAATAAAAATCCATACCAATTTATTAATAAAAAAAAAAACAACTTATCAAAGCCAAGTTAACTCATAATTACATTGACACTAACGTCATTATTGGTATGCATAGTGTAAATCATTTGTGAAACATAGCTTAAAAATTTATTGCAAATCATGATGCTTGATGCTAATATCTTCATTACGATTATACGTCCCACTTCGACCTCCAGATTTATGCAGTAATTTGATATCAGTAATAACATTGTTTTGAGAGACACTCTTACATATATCATATAAAGCTAGTGCTCCTACACTGACAGCCGTTAAAGCTTCCATCTCCACGCCCGTGGTCGCTTTAGTTACAGCTTTAGCGGTAATAACCACGCTATATCTTTCATCAATCAAATCAAACGTTAAATTAACTTCACTTAAATTGATATTATGGCAAAAAGGAATTAGAAAACTTGTATGCTTTGCACCAGTAATACCAGCAATATGGGATACCGTCAAGACATCACCACCTTCTGCTTTATTTCGTTTTACCAACTCAAACGCCTCTGGTGCTAAGACAACAGTGCCACTGGCAATGGCTGTTCGAGAGGTTACTTCCTTCTGGCTTACATCCACCATTTTTCCCTTTCCTTTGCCATCAACGTGCGTAAATTTCTTATTGTTGAGGTAAGAATCATTAAAATCTGAAAGGCGAGCGGGGGTCGATCGATAGCATCGGTGAAAAATTGGCGCCGGAAAAAAACGCCAGGTGCTGAATGTAGACGGAATTGAAATTCCAAATTGATTTATAAAGCGTCGTTTTGCTGTATTCAGATTGCTATGCAAATCTTTAATAAATATACCCATTCTATTTAAATATCCTAAATAACAAGGATAAAGGTAAATCTTGTTCAAAAATCAATCTACATTTTCTCGACACATTTGGCTATTGCTACAAGCTTAATCAAGTTAATAATATTCTTTGTACATTATACTAATTAATATCAGCTACTTCTCGATAAAAAACGTATTCTATAAAAATCACTTTTATCGAAAAGTCCCTGTTAATATGCAGCACCTTAGCAAACATATATATGAAATAGCTAGTCAAAGTACATTATACAATACGTACAATGATAACAATTCCTATATCTACATAATACGTATATCGTTTAACCACCGATAAGTATCATTGGCCGATTCTTTTGCTTTGCTATATTAAACATACCTAATAAAGTGTATAAAATGCAGCATCATCAAGCCAAACAAATCAATAACAAGAAAATAATCACCTATCTCTTTACAATTACAAATCAGGTAGCCAAAACGCTAGAAGAAGTTCTCATGATACCTGCATGCTGTTTCTTTTTATTTCCAACCGCTACTCCTATAATTTTTAACAATTCCTCGTCCGAGTGACCAGATCTTATCACATCACGAAGTGATACTTCAGCATTACCAAATAGACAAACCTTTAAATTTCCATCAGCAGTTAATCTCAAACGATTACAACTCCCACAAAAGTGTTCACTCATTGAAGTTATGAATCCTATTCGGCCAATATGGCCAGGAACTTGATATGCCTTGGACGTATCATTGGGGCTATCCTGCATTCGTACCAATTCCGGCCACCGATCCCTTATGATGTCCAGCATTTGCTGGTAAGAAACAAATTTCTCATAATTCCATTTATTTCCTATACGAAATAAAATACAATTATAAAATGGCTGCATTACAAAGTTTGCAGATTATTTTTTTGTCATCCTACCATCAAAGGGCATATATTCAATAAACCGTACGTCAACCGCCTTCAATAATGTAAAATAAAAGTCAGTCATAACCGATTACTACTTAGTCATCAACATGAATATGAAAGGATCTTCAATCAGGTTATTCATTGATTGTATTATAACCTTCGTTTCAGTTAATTGTACAAAATCTAGTATTTCGTCATCATTCAGGCCTTTCATCACGACACAGTTTATCTATCGAGATGAGATATTAATAGCACATTACTATAAAGTCAATGGTAAAGGCTTAGATCAAATCAGCTACTGACAACAAGTCAACCGCACATTGCTATAAAGTCCATACTAAAGATTCAAATCAAATCAGCTACTGACAGCAAGTAAATCCCTACTATTAAAAATTGTTAGTCATTAACAATGATCAACAAAATACAACAAATCTCAATGATACCTTGACAGGATTATAGCCTAATTGTAAAGCAGCATCAATGCCTTTCATCACACGATCCCATCCCCTTCTTCTAGTGATAAACTCGAATTTAGCAGGAACTAACGTATCTAAACTAACATTAATTAAGCTAAGTCCAGCTTCTTTAAGTTTTGGTAAATGCCTGGCTAAAGTAACTCCATTGGTGGTCATTGCAATGACATCAATACCAGGAATTAAATTAATTTCTCCTACAACAACAACGAATATTAAATAAACAAGGTTAGAACAGACAGTCTCTTGTCGCATCAAGAGTTCAATTCTCGATAGTCTATAAAATTAGACGGAATAAGGATGGATTAGACGGACAGCTTTTTTTAAAATATACCTATTCACTTCTATTGTCTACATCAATTATACTAAAGAGTAAAGTTTGCAACAGAAAATTACACAAATTTTCAACAACAAATTCTAGAAAATAGAGTATTGCCGCAGCTAGAAGAAATTGCTGTTCTGTTATCAGAGAACCGTATCTTCAAGCTTTTACGCATTACACTACACAGGCATGGATAGCTACAGTTCAATGTACAACACCACTTATAGGCAGTCAAGAGTGATTACCAACTGAAAATTTTAACGCTAATTGCTTTGAGGTAATTCAAATTTGTCATGACTTAACATAAGGGTTACTCCACACTCAACAACAACGAAAATGCTACAAGATCCAAGTTCAATAAGTAATACTTACGAACGATATCGATTAAATCCCTTCGCACAAGGGGTTCACCACCTGTTAATCTAATTTTCGTCACTCCCTCAGAAGCAAATAATTGTGATAACTTGATAATTTCATCGGCTGTAAGTAAGCGTTCTTGAGGAGTCAATCCTACACCTTCCGATGGCATACAGTATTGACCTAAAATGCAACAGATAAAATAGAAATAGAGAAATTACCATTCTATCCTCATCTATCATGTACTCATTTGCAGCATACGGTTATTAATCTATGCATTGCATTCAGTTGTAGTGGCTTATCACAGTCATTACTTACATCTAAGGTTGCATCGTTCTGTTAAAGAGATTCTCAAGTAGTCATGCTTGCGTCCAAAGCTATCGGTTAAGAATTCTGAAAATGGCTTGACTTCAACGTCTTGGAAATAGCTTGTACCTGGCTTTCGTTGCTAATGAGTTATTTTTAAAAACAGAGATGACATGTTTATTGCACTTTGTCACGAACAGTCAATATAGTCTATTAAGATCACTATACTATAAAAGTGATGCTTGAAAATAGATCGCAGATTGCTACAAAACGTCATGACGTAACAATTACTCGCCAACGATCATTCGATGAACGCGGCCAAGACAACAATGTATTGTAAGCGAATGCACAACTGTTTTCTATGTTGGTCATATGGGTAAAAGTGGAATGATGATTCATTAAATATCGTTCAAGAAGTACAAGTCTCTGCTAATGGAATAGAAAGCTATAGTGTACGAGTCCTATTTACATCAATACTGGTTTAAATAGCGTTCAACTGCACATTGAATTTATCATGCAAGTAGACTGTTTTTCATTATGCAAAGCAGGAGTTACGCACAGATGATTTATTGGATCGTTAGCACACTTGAAATAAACATTGTACAACTCCAAGGGCAATACGTAAACGTCTAATTCGACTATAATTACAGTAAAACGTATGGTGATGGATTCCTCAATTTACAAGTCATTGAGTAATCCATGGCCAAGTTAGAAGTCCTCGTAAAAATATTGAGCTAAGAACGGATCCATTGGATTTATCTAATCGAATTGATCGGCAATTTTCCATTAGTCCGTGCTTGAAATAAATGCGAGTCGTATCGATCGCGTCTCTCTCTACAGTAAGGGTACACAATTCTAGTCTATATCATCGAATCATCACAAGCAACATTACATGCAGCCTAATTATCAAATGAGTCCAGTTATGAATGGCATGGAACGGTTAGAACTGTATATTGATGAAGAGATCAGTTACCTCCTCCAAGTTGGAATTGCATCGGATATATTGCATCAAGGGAATAGCCTTCCGCCATTTTGCATAATCACATGCAATTTTCCACCTTGCTACGAGCAGACGATGACCCATTGCGTTATACAACGCTCGAATAATAATTGTATAATTCTATTAATAAGCCTTAAGTGGTGTTTTGCAATCCACAAGCTGGAGTTGCTGTCGATTTGATTGCTGTCTACGTTGGATATATCAAAATTAATTATTGAATATCAATTCCTGCGCTGGCACGATGACTCCGACAACTCTAAGTTTACGATTGGATGACGAACCGCTAAAGTAAGCCAACCTACAGAGTGTACTGTACAAAATACTGTACATTATACTGTGTCCAGTACTACTGTACTGGACACAGTAGTACTGTAGAGTCACTAGAGTGTAGAGTGTACAGTGTACAGTGTACAGTGTACAGTACTGGAACTTGTAAAGGATTTCTCTTGAAAATCTCTCATGGTATCACGCTGTTTTATAGTCTTGCAGTAATACTTGCTACAGTAGTAGCTGAGACTAGGATTTCGAAGAGAAATGGTCTTCATCAGGATCTGAGCAGTCGATTTGTGCTTTTTGCAGACTCTCCTGGCAATTGTTGAGTTAAAATATGGCCGCAGCGATTTTACTAGTCATTTTAAGTAGACGCTATGCCTGCAACGGAATATTGTCTACTGTCACGATTGCCGTCCTAATACACAGTGCTGTACTATGAGAATCTCACCACTGTACGATACAACGTATAGTATACAGTGTACAGTACCCACTCTTCAGTATAGAGCGCACAGTATTGTAGAACAATACCGGTGTCACCGGGTTTTGTCCAGTGGTCCAGGAGTCCATGACTAAGGACTACCAAACAAAATTTTCTTCTCGTTATGAGGATTGGAAAAATTAGAAATGAGGGATGAAGGGGGGAAATTTTTGTTTGGTAATCCCTACCTCGACTCATGCTAGTGGTGTTGGTGAGTGAGTTAGCTTAAAATCCTGATAAAACTCATTCGTTCTTACGAGACAGGCATTCTATGTTGATTCAAGATGCCTAGGAGTTTTGGACGTTGATCATCCTAATAATATTGGAATGTAGATGCTGTACATATTGAATGGATGGAAAGACCATTTCATGATGAAATAATAAACTGCTTGTGTCTATGAGCTAGACTGCAACGTTTAATATTGCCACGATAGACTAAATTGGACAATACACCTTGTTAACATGTGTGGAAGTACACCAGACACGTTGGATATCGATTTTCATCGCAATGTCAATTACTTCAGTCTATGGTAGACAATGAGCGCTTAATAGTTGATAAAGTAACGGGAAGAAACAAGATGGATGCCAATGCAAAGCTAGTAAAGTCAATGACTTTATTTTAGAATATAATATACAATCAATGCTTGGACAAAGTAATATCAAGTTAATAAACAAGACATTCTCATCCCAATACAAAGCTAGCAAAGTCAATTCCTTGACTCCATGGCATCTAGTCAGCGCTTGATAGCAGATAAAGTAATATCAAGTTAATAAACAAGACATTCTCATCCCAATGGAAAGCTAGTAAAGTCAATGACTTTATTTTAGAATATATTATACAATCAATGCTTGATAGCGGACAAAGTAATGTCAAGTTAATAAACAAGACATTCTCATCCCAATACAAATCTAGCAAAGTCAATTCCTGGACTCCATGACATCCAGTCAGCGCTTGATAGCAGATAAAGTAATATCAAGTTAATAAACAAGACATTCTCATCCCAATGGAAAGCTAGCAAAGTCAATTTCTTTACTCCATAACATACAATCAGCGCTTGATAGTTGATAAAGTAATACTGTATTAGTAAACAAGACCTTCTCATCGTTATTAAAAGTCTATTCTAATCAACATCCATCCTTCTTTAACTTAACGATACGACTTGAATTTATTGAAAACAAGACAAAAATGACAAAAGTATTATAAAATCAGATGCATATATAATAAATAGTATAAATCTTCAACAAGTACTTTGCAATGATTTTAAATAGCAAACAGAGCACAAAAATGATTTACCCTATGCTGAATCCAAGATACCCTTTCAACGCTATCATATATTAAAAAAGGATAAAAGTTTGCAAATAGCATAGCAAGTATTAATTAATATTAACGGAGTTTCACAAAATAGTCACAAATAGGATGGATTTCATACTGAAAATTTCTCTTAAATAATTGCTTGAGCTTAATTTAATGATTACATGTCCACAACCTATTTTGTTGTTCTATTCAATTCTAGTGCCAGTCAAATCGATCAATCACGTATCTTTCCGTCTTATTATATAATAAATAAATGCATCATTGCAATATTGTACATGTATATATATATACATCTGTCAATATATAGAAATGGATCAATTTTAAATGAACTAGCTCAACTGGTCTAGATATAAAGCAACTTAAAATTAAGATCAGGATAAGCGAATTGGCGTACTTATTTAAATTATGCGTACACGGGTCCTCCTCGATCACGTTTGTAAATAAATTAATTTTTATCCAAATTATTGTCGATTAAATCCGATTTATGTCTCCTAGCTGAGCTACTATACCTCTTAATCGATTTAGCTATATCACAGTCTAATGAAAATATGAATAGTAACGGCAATACTTTAGATGTTGACTGAAAATGGTTAACGATATCTTGTAAAATCTGCACATGATCTTGATAGGCCTCTAGGATCATTCCATTCGGTAGAATAAGATCTCGACAATTTACCTCGGTTTGTACTTCCTTTTCGGTCGCTAATATTTAAACATGACGAATATCGAGTTCTATTTCGGTATTCATCATGGCTCGAGCTACCTCTAGTACAACTAGTACCGTCATCAGTTGAAATAAATGGAGTATCAGCAAGGGATGAACTAGATACGTTGCTGAGAGAGTTGCGAGAGTTGCGAGTATTCGTACGGCTACGATTGGATCTCCCGCGTCCATGATGTAAATTAGGATGTATAATATTGTCACAGTTATAATTACGAACATAATCACATGTGAGGCTTAAATTGGAAGCGGTCATTCTTTTCTTAGATAGATTAGAATTAACTGGCTGCAAAATCTCACGTTTATCCTCGCCGTGATCAACAGTTGGTGGAATAATATTCGATGGTATAACATAACCTTGCGTTTGTGTAGCATGCGTTGCTGCTTGATCATGATCTGCTGATGATAAGCAGAAAATTCCACGGAATCGGTCCCATATCGTTTTACGTCGATTGGCTTCTTTATTGACCTTATTTGGTTTATTATTACCTCTAACCAAAGCTCGTCTCATCGATGCTCTCATATACGGTTTCAGGATATCGCCATTGTTGGTTAGACTAGTTTGAGAAAGAGCTCGTTCACATAGGTGATTCGTGTTGGTATAGCCTTTATTTCTAGCTGCTGCAGCTGCTTCCGATTTCTCAGTGTATGTACGAATAGTACGTTTATTGGCAATCTCGCTTTCTTCAGAATCCAGTATATAGGACATTCGATTTCTATTGGGTGATGGTCGATTCGTTTCCTCCTTAACAAAGGTGACATTTCGATTTCCTTTTGATGTCGAATGAGGTGGTTGTTGATCACTATGTCGATGTTGTTGATGATGATGAATATCCTCTAAATTCGTGCTGTGACGATTATTTCTGCCTTTGCTATGACCACGTCCTACTTTTACTGGTGGAAATTTGCCATTATTGGAGTTGTCTGCTTGGACATGATCGCCTTGTTTATTCACGGATTGATTATGACCTTGTTTGCTCATGTTTGATTGCACAACAGGTGAGATTAGATCATTCAATTTCTCAATCGGAGAGGCTCTATTTCTATTAATTGATGGCGTACGATCATGGCCAACATTGTCGCCATTAGTAGCGTTGGTATTACTCGATCTGGTGGAATAGCCTTGATCGCAGTTACTCGAGCGATGATGAGTAAATTTATAACCTTTATTTGTAGAGCTACTCCTGACAGGGACTATAGGTGATTGCTGTATCATAGGGTTATAATCTGTTTGCATCTTTGGCGAACAATTATTCTCAATCATTTCATCGCCATGACATTTATCCTCGTCATGTCGATCTTGCATAAATTCTATGTCATCTTCCACACCATCATCCATTTCGATATCGTCATCTCTTACTAGAAGATTATTATGATTTTGTCGTATTGCATCATCATCGTACAGTGTCTCTACTGTCGCTAAAGCTGATGTGCTGACAGAATGAAATAGGTTCGAATTAGCAGGATCTGGACAATAGTGGGCTTGATGAAGAGCTACATGACTTTGAGAACGTTGTTTAAGACGAACAAAATGGTCATTCTCTGCCTTGGCTGCCTCTTCTTCTTCAGTTAACAGTTGATTAATGTTAACGTAGGAATTAGAATGGTCGACGCACTCTATCATAGAGCGAACCCTTTGATGTCGGTCTGCATAATTGTCAAAGTCAGTCCGATGTGAATTCTTATCTTTCCTTCTAATAGGATAATTAATCTTTCTATTTTGATCTATGTGTTTATCGTGAATCGCCTTTTCGTTGTTGAATGAATATCCTTTCCCATTGGAAGGATTAGTAACCTTTCGATTATGCTTTTTATCATTGCGAGATAAGTCTGTTTTAGATTTTTCTCGTCGAGGTTCATATTTTAGAAGAGCTAATTTGTCTGTAGACTGCGTTGTTCTGTCCGACTTTGTCTTTTGATGATGATGTTTACGAATATGGCGAGGTTGATGTTGTTGATTGCGATTGGTACTATTATTTTTACAGCCTAAATAAATTGCTGTAATCGTCGGTGCTTCCTCATCACTGCGCTCTTCAAAGCTAGACATTTCGTCTTCACCGCCGCTAAAAGCTGATTTAGCGTAGGTTACACGAGGTTTTCGAATATCGTTTTGAGATTTAGCAGATTTCAAACGTTGATTTTCATATTCAAACTTTTTGGCATCAGATGCGTAGCCCTATGATAAATATAAACATTTATGTATAGTACGGCATTAGTAATTATTGCATATCAATTTTATCCATAATCCTATAGGTAGTATCCCAGATATGGAACTCTGAAATTATACTCATACCTTTATCCTTTTCCTTTTTTCCACAGTTAAGATCTTGGATGCAATGTTTAATGTCGATAGAGCATCAAAATAGTTTTCTTTATGATTAAATACATTCACAATCATCGTTTTATAACATTTGCTATTGCCTAGTGGCTCACGCAGAACTTGAATTAACTTATTCCGGCTATCGATAGGAATTGAGAAAATATTTATGAGCATACTAGTAACATAGTTATTGTTGTAATCAAAAATTTTTAAGTGGAAATAATTGATGCACGCCATTAAATACAAGCATACTTATTAGTTGCGATTCGTCCACCCGATAGTAAGGATAATATGATTCTGCCAATAGGAGATATCAAACTAGTTTCCCGACTTTGTCTTTCATCAGTAGCTGCAAGATCGATAAAGTAGAGGCGAGATCGGCCGTTATTTGCTGCAAAGAATCAGCATGAAAGTAATCAACATTAGATCTATGATAAGACTTGCTGTTTTAGTTCATTTATAAGGACGATAAATCCATAAACTGTAAAACAAAAATTTAATTTCGACTAAATATGTAGGAATTATGTAAGATCGCATAAAATATTACTGGCTGCATGAAATAGAAATGTTACATCTTCAGCAATAGGTCTTTCTTAATCTGATGATTTTTTTAGCTTACAATACCTGGCGTCATTTGTTGTTCCTTATAACGATATAAATAAACAATAAACATCAAACTTCCTTGTCGTTTTCCCGGATTCTGATTACAATTTATAGCAGCGTTTGCTGCATCGAATAAATTAAGAGCTGCTTGAAGGCTAGAAGCTCGTATTTCCTCCACGTTAAGCTGTAAAAATTGCATAGCGAAATAACATAGGGCATTATATAATTTGCTCAGTAAAAGTATTACAATACCAAATCATTTATCTTTGATGTTCCTATTACTCATTAATAATCATTTGAACTACAACAATGTAAGAAATCTTGTACACATTTTTAGTGATAAAAATTTAGCTGCTATATACCGGATTGCCATCTTCAGTTAAGTATACTCCTGGAGATTGATTCATTTTGCCATCTAAGAACAAAATTTAATAGTTCTAAATGTTGTCAATTTCATATCTATCAGGTTCAATAATCTCCTTACCTGCTACTTTATCTGCGAGTAGATCTCGTACTTCATTTTTATAAACTTCTGTGGCTGAAATCCGTACAGAATAACTAATTCCTGATCTATTGGATCAATAAGTTAGTTTTTAGATTATTTAGGTAGCAAGGTATAGTTCGTCTTAGTAATATAGTGCAACATTGCGCATTTATGTCCACTATTTAAATATTCACTATTATAACTTGCGCCCATATTCTATTACAACGATTAAGGCAATTCATGATTTTGTAAATTGGCATAAATAAAATTTTATTACTTGCTCGGGAATAATTATTTACAAGTTACCTTTGTCGCTCTTCTTCTATTGCATGATACAGCCATATCAATGAGTAAGGTATAACTCCTAAATTTTCCACTTTATCATCATTTCCAATGATGGTATAGCTTTTTCCTGTATTGGAAGGATATTAAAACTTTAATAAATGATCAAACACCCTACAGTAAATATCCATCCTTAACACAGATTGGACTATACTATTTCAATGAAATGAAGCACATTAAGATCATTGCGATGCGGAAATGTGAAAACATATCTATTCTGCTGGTAAATAATCTCAATAAAACTGCAGAAGGTAGTACTTTGCTTAATGCATATTTCTAATTCTCCTGAATATATTATTTTAAGTAATGACAAGGCGGAAAATGAGATGAAAAATGTCATAGTATAATATCGAGCTGCTATGCGCTCATCTTTTGCAATTTTCTTATTATTATAAACTATTAACTATCATCAACGAAATTATAACTTGCGGTTTAAAGGCAAACATTGTATGCACTAGTTTTCTCATGCAAATCATCAATGCAGCTGAAAGCTATAGAACATAAAATTTATGCACGGCTCACCTGATGCCATAGCTCCAAAACTAAAAATGCAGCCATCGCGTCCATAGAGTACATGACGTAGAATAGATGTAGCAGTATGATCACAAAGCTTAAGCTAAGCAGTGTAAACAACAAACATATTACTATCACATCAGAATTTACCAATTCCTTAAAATGAGATCTTTTTTAAGGCTGGTTTATAGGATATCAATTGAATATGCAATAGATACCCTATCTCGAACTCATTTAAAGATTTAATTTAATCACACCATTGCCTTAAATCGAGAAAACTGCAAGATATTCACAAGATTAAGCACTATGTCGAATACTTTACCTGCTGATCCCCATAATTAAAGATGGAATCGAATGCAAATACTTTATTTGAGCTGTTTGATCCTCTTCTTTGCAAATCTGGATGATTTAAAGTAACCTGTTTCTTTGATGCATCAATTTTCAATATTTCTGAATTTGCATCACTATCTGGGCTATTTCTCACTCTTAAAAATACTTTCAGCTGCGTAATAAAAGAATGAATGGATAAAAATGATTTAAATTAGTACCAATTATTTCAAGTTTTGATTTAAAATTCATCTGCACTTCCATCTATCCTACCCTACCCAAAGTTAAATATGAATTCGTGTTTAAATTTTACAAAACCTAACGTAAGTCCAAAAATTTATTTTAACAGCGCTGCATTACTGCTGTAATTTCAGCCATGATATATATGCACAAATTTAGTTTAATGGTATAACTTCCAAATCGTTCGATACTGTTATTTCGTGCTTAACATTAAGAATCCATGTCTGTACGATAATGTCCATAATAATACTGCAGTCATGCTTTCTTTCTAGGTATGATGTAAATGCACAAGTTTAATTCAATGGTAGAACTTCCAAATCGTTCTATACTGTTATTTCGTGCTTACTATTAAGCAATCCATACCTGTGAAATAGTCTGTATAATAAAACTGTCGTAATACAAATGCACAAGCTTAATTCAGTTGTAGAACTTTTAAATAGTTCTAAACTGTTTTTAATGCCTAATATTAATCAATTTATGTCGTACAATAGTCTGTATATTGTACAAGAAAACTGCAGCAATGATTCCTAAATATGATACAAATACACAAGTTTAACTCAATGGTAGAAGTTTAAATCGTTCTATGCCGTTACTTCGTGACAAATATTGAGCAATCCATGTCAGTACAATCATCTGCGTAATAATGCTGCAGTAATGTTTTTTTTTTCTAGATACGATGCAATAGCATAAATGAAAATAAAGCGTAAAACTTTCTAATTAATACCTATATGATATACTGTATATTCCTATTTCATATCTAATCCATCACTTTTTTTATTTGCTAGCAATGAATACCGAAATTTTTAATGTTTTTGGAATGATATTGCTCGGATTTAGCCTTTAATTGCAGCTATAAAAAATTCTATCACCGCTAAGAAAGCCTATTTAGACTAAAGTAGAACTGCTCGATAAAGCCATTACTCAAAATGTTACATTCTACTTGTGATAAATCAAGAAGTCGAACAAGATTCTATCTGTTGAAGGCTCATTTTTAGTCTCTCTATCTCTTCTTTGGTGCCTAGTACTATTAAATTTAGCTGTACGAAGTCGTATTTATAATTACTAAACCTCAATTATATTCAAGGAAATTGGTTGTAATTTAATAGGCAAATTGATTGAGAAATTACACCAATATTGACTTTCAATATATGTCAGTAGCTTTTATTATTGTAAGAGACTTTTCCATCTTTCATGGGCCATGATATCAGTGGTAGAAAAGTAGCACCTTGGTCAATCGATCATATAGGGTGCAACGGTTCGTCTCTTAAATAATTAAGTTAAGGCCTATAATAGAAACTTCTTTATGGAAAAGTATGGTAAGGATAAAGTAAAGGTATATCAAATAAGAAAAATCTTCAATATACTGCATTGGTACAGGTAATTCCACTAATTGGATAATAAGATCAGTGAACATAATCATATCTTTTGCCTGTTTTCAGATAGGTTAACACTATACAGCATATCTTTATTCATGGCTTCTATATTATTGTTTAACACTAGCAAAGCCAATAAACATTTTAGCCGAGAAAAGTATAATCCTGATATAAGCTGCAAGAAAGTGTGAAAACTTTAGCACGTTGAATGCCAACAGTAACAACTTATTTTTCAATAAATTCTTTGATCCAGTTTGTGAAAGCGAGCAGTTGTACCAAAATTTAAAACCGAAAGGAGAAAAAAACTGCGATATACTTTAGCGCTAGCCGAACTGTTTAGAATGAGAGAAAGTGCGACATAGTTTAAAAAGTTTCAGATGAAATCGGATCCCGACTTTATAACCGTGGGTGGAAGCTCAACGGCCCTTTTCATTGCTAATAGTCTATCTCATTTGTATGATTAGAATACTATGGCCCTTTAGGATGTGCCATTCTTGGCTATCATCAAGCTCCTACCAAAGTATTGTAGGAAATTCTGCGTCAATTTATAGCTTACCTTATGCTTTCGACGTGATATCCTTCTCTCATGGTGCTGAGTTATTAAGGTTAGGAGATCGTCTAATGTAACGTAAGCGAAAGATGAAAAGGAAGATAATTTGATGGACCGTTCCTTGTCTGACTGATCATCTTCCTTTTTTATAACTACAGGTATAAAAGAGAATATTAGGTTAAACAAGATAAAAACCATTGAATTTTAGCTCGATTACATCATGCTAACAGATGATGATCCAATCAGATGATTATTACAAGGATGAAAGGTATTTTTATTCCCTTTTATTTCTTGTACTAAACACTAGTATTATATGACGATAGCAAAACGAAATGCTGCATTACAGTCGATTGTTTGCAATTGTTCAATTAAGCAACATAAGGTAAAAGAAAGGATAGCCAATCTAACCTTGGTTGATATAGGGATGAAGAGCAGCCTTGGCTTGATTTTGGATTAATGGTGTCGGTGATGCACGATGAAATTCAGTATTCATGCTTACTTTTCGAGAGTAATTTTGTTGAAGGCCAGAACGATGCGGTGATGATTTACTGCCTTGATACTTGATAACTTTCTTTTTTAACTGCTGCTTTTGCGCATCTGTTAAGTAAGTAAAATAATATCAAATATTCTTACATTAATCAAGCAAAGAAAAACAAACCTCCTTTGATATCTAAACTATTACATTAGCCGATTATTTATTCAGCTTTCATACGTTCAATAATAAAAAATGCATCTTGGCCAATGCAAGGATGATATTATTTTCTATCACCAATTAGTAATATTATCGTTGCTACTCTATTACAACAATTAATCCATTTGGAAACAATTATAACTTAAAATAGTTTGGAGAATGGAGCATAAAATTATTAAAGAAAATGCTGATTGAGGATGAAAATGGATCATGATTAATTAAAGTCAATGGAAAGTAACGTGGTTGCACTTTCTATTAGGTTATTAACCAAAACTTATTCATTTTATGCTATCATGATGATAGGATGCACTATCGAGTAGCTTGATATCGCTACATGCCAATTCAAAAAAAAATGTCTTCTAATATCCTTCACTTCTGTACAAATAATCAAGTTTCTGTCCAGTAGGATAAAACATCAAACTAGGACATCCAATTTTATTCTATTCTGTTGAATAGGTAAAACATGGACTCTATCATTATTTATTGGCGCTATTCTTTCCTAGCTACTGTCTCAGTTTAACCTACTCATGTTATTCTTCTCGACATGGGATTTTGAAGTGAAGTCTTCAAGCGCTACTCTATGAAATCAATTTTATCAAACGGTAACCAGGGTAGCGGCTATCCCTAGCATTTTGGATTGGTATAGAATTGCAATAGTGGGTATTTTTGCTTCCATCCGATCCATCGCTTGATGGATGTTGATTGCTTCCATGAAAGTTATGGTAAGAATTGGAATTAACCAGCGAAGAAAATAGACTGCAATTGTAATTTGATAGTAACATTGGATAAGGCATTCCTCTACCTTTATCCCTGATTTAAGTCCAACTCGTTCCCCTTTCCTTTGCCTCGCTTAGGAACTCATTGGCTGTTTTCGTTTAAAACACTGTTCCAAACGAAAATATCTCATGCCTACACAACGAGTATTTTAGTCACTTTATGGAAGAGATGGTTAATATAGTGCCTAATTATCCTCTACTGCCACTTAGCCGCTTTGCTCAGCATGATTCTATTTTGGCTAGTGTTTAAGATACGAATTTTACTAGGATGCAAAACTTGTTGACATCATGCTTCGAAAATGGGTTATGATCAAAATTCAAGACTAATGATCATGGCTAAAGTAGAAAAGATGGTCGACTATTGTCCTAAACTACGATTCCTTAGCAATGCCGATGATTATCTCGTTATTACTAGCGTTTGACTGTAAACTTGTGGTATTCTAAGTAAAAAAAAATTCGTTTTCAAACTCAAATGAGAAGATAGCCTAATTGGTAACATGGTTACAGTAATCTCCGGCTATAAAAAAGATTGAAACAAACAGCAACATTGATTGGCGATAATGCCATAACGGTGTAATGGATGAAAGCGAAATCGTTATTCCTTTATTCTATCATGATCAAGTACAATTATGAAAAGACAACTTTTACTGCAAAATGTTGTCTCGTTATCAAATAGGATTACAGCATTGACATTGACAGTTGGCATGGAGAACGGATAGAGGATAAAGTGTTTTCAACGGTAAAGAAATGGATTATAAGTAGAAAGAGTAAGCGCTTGATAGTGAAATGATATTAAATACTACCACGCTTACAGTCTGTAGATAAATGATTAAAGTGAAAGTTCATCAAGTTGACAATAATATTATGCGATCAAGTGACAAGTTTAATTACATCTAATTTACCTCCAATCGTTGAGTAGAGTTAAGTTGTCTTAAAGCATGGTGTAATATCAGGCGCAAAAAAAGAATGATGGAATGTTTGGTTACAATTAAAAACTTTCTAACCCTCAATCTGTTTTTACTTTCACCATGTGTTTGAATATGACATGGACTATTTCCACAATTGGAGTATACGAAGGTGAAATAACATTCAACGTAACCTGTACTGAGAACTTATTTTCATCACAAGCAATATTGACAAAAGGCTAAAAAACGCTAGAAGAAAGAAACGATTAGTTTGTATTGGCAAGAATCGCTTCTTTCTTTCCCATTTGAATTCATTATTATCTGATTGAATAAATGTGTCAGGTGTTGCCTTTTCTTACAGCCAACTAAGTTAACAACAGCAATTGAATTGAAACAGTTTAATCAATCAACAGGAACAATTGCAATTGATGAACTCTATTACACTCCAATCAATCGTTTAGCGCCATGATGTCTCTTACAAAATCCCGACATTATCATCGCTGTATTCATGGCCGGCGGTTTGGCCAATGTTCACGTGATACTCCATCATGGCCGTCAAAGAATGAAAAAGAAATATAATCCGATAGGATGGCCATGACGTAAGTGGAAGCAAGTAGAATCATCCATCCAATAGTCCAGGCACTCATCAATCATAAAATATTCAATAATATTAGCTATTATCCAATTCAAAGGAAGGATGAATCAATGGACTACATGAAATAGAAATTCATCTCCTACTTTCTGTTAGAGGTTGAAAGGAAGTAATGTCGAAACAATTCATTTACATCTGCATGGATTCTCCATCGTTCTAATTAATGTTCTACTATTTAATCTGCCCATAGCCAATGGTGATTAAGTGATCTACTGTATCGCCGATACAAAAAAAAAACTGCATCAAGACTGTTCCTGCTCGCTGTTAATCCTTTCCTAGCCATAGGAGTTTGATTGCCTATTTCAAATATTTCCCACGTCATTTACTTGCATTGCAATCGATTCAGACGTAGTCTGTTCCTTGAGAATTCAATTTATCCACTGCATTTGATACAGGTCATATTTAATCGACCACTAGCTCACCATCGTGAATAAGACAATCTATTCTATTGCAGATGAAATATGATACGCTAAGATAGTTGTTTATTTCGTGAACTTCTCCATACAACGCAAATTACGAGTGCTGTACATTGTACAACGATTACTATTTACTGCTGACGGTTGACAATTGGCAAACTAATTGGATTGAAATCCTGTTATTCAAGTGTAGTCCTCTCTAATTGAATTGATCGACCTCGGACTCGCTGTCCTTACAAGTCATCTACAATCTATCGACAGCTTAATCATTAAAATTTAGAAAGAAAGCAATCACTGACAGCCAAGACGGCACTAAGGCCATTCTTGTTCACCATTCACAATCTCCATAGGGTATATTTGGATCGATTTGGAAGTCCATGTAAGTCAATAGGCTTGCAATTAATGAGATGCAATTCTCTCCTCAAGGATTGATTTGATCAACTTCTAATGCAAGTACTCTACTGCCGATTAAAAATAGTCCGTTAAGACCAGCAATGTTCCACTTTGACAATTTTACGTCAGTATTTCACAACCTTGGGTCGCAACAAATTTACATGTAGGCCTATTGTAAAGAATTCGTCGATATCAGGATAGAATATGTACAGGTTAATCTGCTACATTGCAGGTAAAACCTGACAACAAGACCAAGATCTAGTACATTATTCTCTTTATTTTCGATTAATTTTACATACTATTCGCACGTTACGGGACTCCAATATTTTTACAGTTCATTGGTTGAAATAATTCAGATGGGCCTTGTAATCCTTTTCTTAATACTACCACAATTTTCAACATATCGATATCTAGAAGTAAGGCTGGCTAATCTACTGCCATGATGAGAATAAATCTAGCAACGAGACCATGATCAACCTGATATTAACACTATTTTTGCTCGCTTTATATAATTTGATAGATTTGTACTACTTTTTTTTAAATCTACAAGTTGACGGGCTTAAAATAAATAAATTCCGATAGGCTTTTAGTCCTTTCTGAACTGTAAATATTATCATTATTTTCAGCTTATTGGTATCTAGATGTAATGCAGCTAATCTGTTATATAGGTCGTGATAAATATTGCGACTAAACCAGTACAAATGGCACTAATCCATTCGCCTTATGCAATCTTCGAACGCGTGCTATGTACTGTAAATTGTTACAAGTCAACATGCTAGAAATAATTAAATTAATATAGGCCTTCTAATCTTTCCTAAATACTGAAGAATATTACAGCAAACCATTACATAGTACGCTGTTCTGCTCGCCTTACCAACCTTCTATTCTCGTATTATCTATCACAAATTCTTGCGAGCTAACCTGCTTGAAATAACTCATATAAACCTTACAATCTTTTCCTAAATACTAAAGAATATTGCAGCAAGACCAGTGCTCGTTGCACTATTCCACTCGCCTTAGGCAATCCTCTAAGTTGCATTATGTACTATCAATTCTGGCGGTCAATTGCTTGAAATAACTCGTGTTGGCCTTATAATCTTTCCTAGATATTGCCCTAATTTCAATTTATCAACATCCAGATAAAATTTAGACAATCTCCAGCATTTATATGAAAAACGAACATACTATTTGGCTTAATTTTTGACATACTGTTTGTCTTACGCAATCTTATATAACTTAATTGAGTCAAAATGAATTTGCATCGACAAAAGAAGGTCTACAAACGAATACTGTAGAGCAACTAAAAATTAAAGGCATCGCTCGCGTTTCAAGGCTCACTTACGAGTATCTTAAATAAATGTCAGAAGACTATTTCCCGAATGCTATGATCGTTTTAAATCTATCCCCATTTTCTCCATTTAATGGCCTTAGGTCTACCAGCTGAATTTAAATCAATCAACCCGGTACTTCACCATTGCCTGTCAACAGGAGAAATGGTTAATTTATCTACGCTCTACTTTTGTAGATTAATGTACTTGAAATCGATGTTATGTACGTTACGTCTTAATCGTTTCTAATTGCTTCATAGAGGTTTAATTTTACTCGTATATGGCTACAGCACCATAAACTTAACGTTAAATAATGGACTTGTATGGTAAAC